CAAATCAAATGTACTTCTTTGAAAACAATCAATAAAATTTAAAAGCTTTTCTATATTGAGAAAACAAGAAAAAAAAACCTCCAACATTCAAACAGGAACATTATTAAAGGTCCTTCATATACTAAGAGCATAGTGAGAATATTTGGAATACTATTAAAGCATGTAAAATATGAAAATTAATCTGAATATTTCTGTAATCAGTAAAAAATGAGTCTCAACTTTGAAAAGTTCCCTACAATAAAATATTTATACTTACACTGACATGTGAGTGTCATTTACTCTACTTTTATGCATATCTTGCCATGCTGGGAATTGCCATGGATCATAGGTGTTGCTGCTGGCTATGGACTGGATAAACAGCTTGCATAGAACCATAGAAGCTAGAACACAGTAAAGAGTCTTGTAAGTCAGACAGAGCTGGAGTTATTTGGGTCCTTTGTCCTAAACATCTGGTGTCTTCAGCAATAGGGGCCCAACTTCAACCCGTAAAAGGGAAATAATGGCTACATTGATAGTCTATATTGTTTTGGGAGTCATTTTGATTGCCCTAGCCAACACTTTGAATGAAGGTTTCTTATTCCAGGGATTTGGCTGGTCTATGATTTCTGTGGGGGAGTATTGTCAGCCCAAGTAGCTTCAGTTATTTTAACACACACACACACACACACACACACACACACACACACACACACACAAATATGTATTGTGTAAAAGTTAGGCAAATATAAAATAACTCCTTAAAACTTTAATAAACAACCGTGGTGTTATTTGTTGCCTGTCATATTTTCTCTGCTTCCTACTTCATATCACTTGTATCCTGCTATTCCCAACCCAAGACCCACTTCTTTGGTCCCAACACTAGGCAAAGAATTATAGGCAAACATTGACTGCTGGCCTCATCCAGGGATGATACTACTTCTAAGTTTTTCTGAAGACATATACACATAAACAATAAAAATGGTCCCAACAGGTCATATTTATATATTTGTGCATACAAGCCATATATATGTATATATATGTATATATACATATATAATAATAAAAGTAATATATATATATAATAAAAAATCTATGAACTTAAGAGTTGGGAAACATGTTAGGTTCAAGAGAAGGTCACTAGAAGGATCTTCAGGAATGAAAGGAAGGGAGAAAGCAATGTAAATCTATTTCAATTCAAAAATACCACTAAAATTAAATATAAGAAAGCCATGACCCAAAGATTCCAAATGGAAACTTCCAAAAACAAATAGATTAAATTAAAAACCTATAAGCATAAAGGGTTTCAGTAAATAATTCTATCAATATGTTAAGAAAAAACTACAGTTATGTTTCCATACTGAAGTAGAAAATGGTACACATAAAATTTATTTTTGAAATGTGTCCCTTTATCTTTAAAATTTACTAAGAACTCAAGAAACTTGACATAAAAAGAACAAATAATCCAATAAAAATGGGGTACAGACCTAAACAGAGAACTCTCAATAGATGAATCTCAAATGGTTGAAAGACACCTAAGGAAATGCTCAAGATCCTTAGCCATCAGAGAAATGAAAGTGAAAACAGTTCTGAGATTCCATCTTACACCTGTCAGAAGGCAAAGATCAAAACACTGATGACAGTTTATGTGGGGTAAGGAAAATACTCTTCCATTGCTGCTGGGAGTGCAAACTTGTTCTTTGGAAATCAGTATTGCAATTTCTTAGAAAAGAATCTGCCTCAAGACCCAGAAATACCACTTTTGGGTATATACCCAAAGGAAGCTCAATTATACCACAAGAACATGTGCTAAACTATGTTTATAGCACCATTATTTGTTATAGCCAGAACCTGGAAACAACCTAGATGTCCCTCAACCAAAGACTAGATAGGGAAAATGTGGTACATTTACACAATGGAGTATTACACAGTGGTAAAAAAAATAATGACATCTTAAAATTTTCAGACAAGAGATATACAGACAGATCTCAGTGGCTTGCACTGCTACCCGATGCCATGGTAACATCCAGGCCAGAATTGGAGCAGAAAGCCATGACCCTACTGCAGGTGGGATCTGTGTTGATATCCAAGGTTCCTCTTACCACTGAAGGTTGTGTGGATGCCCAAGATCTGGGACAATGTTAGTGTCTGAGGGCCATCCTCCCACTTGGGCCGTGTCATTCCGAGTGGCCTGCATGGCTACCCGGGACAATGGTGTTACAAGTCATTAATACAAGCAAAAACAAACTAACGCACAAAACCTAGGTTATGTCAAATTATTCTGTTTTACCATTTTAAGATTATAACTATGTTCTAAGTAAGAGAAGCTTATGTATTGAGTCAAGGAAAATTTAACTTTGTAAAAAACTTTGTAAAAAACATTAGTTAATAAAGAACAGCAAGTTGGGAGAGGAGAAATCGTGATCAGAATATCAACAAAAATATATAATGAAAACTAAAGACCAAGATGAGACATAATTTTCCTACTTTTTCACAAAATTTTTGTACATTTTTTCAGCAGATTATTTTTATTACTTTACAAATAAAACCAATCAAAATTTTCACTTCCTCTCCTCCTCCCACTTCCCTTCCGCTCCCCAGCTCACTTTCCCCCTCCAGTCCTAAGAGAGGGCTGGTTACCCTGCCCTGTGGGAAGTCCAAGGCCCTACACACTCCATATATCTTGTATATATCTGTCTGTATATATCTTGGTGGTGAGAATATAATATGATCCAGACACTACAGAAAGTAGTTCTTAAGGTTGACTCAGCAATCACAATCTTAAGTATTGGTTCCAGATAAATGAATATATAACCCACAAAACTGTCTATCAATGATTACAGAATCTGTATTTATAATTGTACAAAATCTAGAAAGAATTTGTTGTCCTACAATGGATATGTGGATAAGTGGCAACACACTATTGCATTTGCAGCATCAAAAAAATATAAAGGTAAAAGGAACGCATAGAACACATTGGGGACATATAAGGGGAATCAGATGGAGAGAATAATTATTAAACTCTTAAATCACATATTTTATGGTTGAACATGCCAGTGAAATTCAAAATGATAAAATTATAAAAAAGGATATCAGAGTAGTGGTGTATAAAGATTATAGATCATGAAAGGAAAATGATATATGACATAAGAAATAACAGTAGAAATACCCATGAAGTTATTAAAAAACATTGTATTTAATCATGACAGTGCTCCACAAACTTACATGTAATAATTCCATAAAATAATAAAAGAATAAAAGTAAAGCTGCAAGATTCTGAGAAAGACCTGTGAAACAAAGCATACTAAGTTTCCTCAATTGAATATTGTGGTCCTAATTTTCTTTACTGAGGGGTCTTAGAGGTAAAAAGATGATGAAGTCACCAGAAAAGGGACTGTGTGACACAAAGTCATAATAAATAGTTAACTTGGTTACTTTACTTGGCAAAATCTACAGAAAAATAAAATCAAACACTCAATTTCAATGACTAGTCAGTTTAGACCATTTAATTCAAATAAAATTGTCAGTTTGGTAAATCATTTTAGATGCAGTCTGAATGGACTTTACTGTCAGGAAATCCTAGAATGCATAAACTTTTACAGGCTCACTTATTAGAATCCCATGCAAAAATTTATCATTTGAGACATGTATTATAATAGTAACAATAGTTTTGCCATGTGCAAAAAAAACAGTAGGTTATATGAAAAAAATAGCATTTCTTCATTTTTGGAATTTTGGTAATAATGGTAGTATTTGCATTTTATAATTTCCAGAGCTATAAATCATCTTTAAAATCATTATGATATTATTCAAAGCATATGTGAAAGCATATGTTTGCTACAGTTGTATAAATTGCTTACTTGTCATACTTAATAAATGATAAAAGTTACACAGTAACTTGTTCCCTTTCAATAACTGAAGCCTATTTGAGTAAAATACATTTTGCCTTACTATCTCAAGTACAATGGGTAGAAGTGGATAGGAAAAATCATTTTTGAAGGAAAACATTCCATTATAACTTGAATGTAGTTGAACATGCTAGCTACTGTCTACTAATGTCCTCATCAGTATATGACCAAACTATTTGTGCCATTTGAAAGCAATTGAAAAGGAAATACATTCAACTATGTGTTTTATGGAAAAAAAATGTAATGTGTGTATATCCTCATGTTCCAGCAGTGTTTAAAGTGTTCTGCCTTCCAAAAAAAATTGGTCTCAGGAACAAATTGTTGGATTATGAGTGAAGTTTTATTCTTAACTAGAATTTCATTACCTGCCTAAGTGTTTAAACTCTAATATACCGAACCTGACTTGCTCCTTTCTGACAACTATTCCGCAATCAATCATATGCACAGTGCAGTCCCAAAGGGTATAGTCTTTCCGTGTCTGGCTAAGAAAATACTAAACATGTGGCAAGGAAACCAGCCATGCATCAGTGAAATTACAATCATACACTTTACTAAATTACAGCTAAAATGCTCATCTAGGTAATAATGAAGCAAGTTAAGCCTCCAGAAGAAAGACACAATTTTTCATTAATTATGCATCAAAGTGAATCTTGTGTCCTGAATAATATGGAAATTTTATTAGAGAAAGAAAATATATCCTTCTATAAAGTAAAAGTAGATCATTTAGTGAACTGATGCAAAAGTATAAGTTACTATCCAACTCAGTGTAGCAGCAATAATGCATAGCTTATAACAAATGATTATATATCCTCCTGTATTTTCATGTCTTTAGCTTTCAGTTCAAGGGAGAATCGCTTGAAAGTGTTCTACTCCCCATTCTTTACAAAGACATACTTTAAGTTATATGCTTCAGCAGATCATAAACCAGGTTGAGGGCATAACCATCTATACCCCAAAATAAGTACTCAATAGAGTATCTTGGTAAAGTTTAATTTGAAATGTCAAAAATTCATATTTTTTAGAAAATGACAGTATTAATCTACTCTGACTTGACAACAATGTGGCATTTACTGTATGATACTCATACATATATCAATTAAGCCAAAATCATTTTACCTTTATTATCCCTTTGGAATATTTTTATGGTTTGTCCATTATCTTGGTCAACAATAAGTTCTTCTCTATTGTTGGGTATCATAACTAAAAATGAAAAAGGGAACTGGGTATACTTTCATGCAAAATAGGCATAGAAATTCTCAGAAGCACATAAATAGCTAACATAATCCAACAATTTATATATATTTTAAATAGTCCTGTAACAAAAGGAATATTTGGGTGATAGTCAGGTATCTTGCAAATAAGTAAGATGATTAATCAAGTAGTTTTTAAAGTATCATTTACATTTAGTATTAGCACTGTTGATAATACATACTATTTAAATCATGTATGTATTTTTTCTTTTAAAATGAATGTACAAATTAGTATTTAGCTCCATAACTAATGCTTTTCTCAAAATATTTCAGGATATCTATATTTTTTATATTTATGTATTTATGTTGATTTATGAATTTATAAAAGAATTAATATACTATGAGATTAAAATAATTTTGCCTTTAACTTACTTTGAAAATTTTCCAAATATATTTTAAATTGACAGCAAACTATAATTTTCTGGCACTTATTGTGAGTCTTTGCAAAAAAAATATACTCAAGGAAGCAGAACATACTAATTTGCAATTTATCATTTCTTTCTATGTAGTCATATGTCATTGAAACATTACAGCTCTATAAATAAGATACAGTCACTTTACAGCTAAAATCTATTAAATGTTTCCATTCAATTGTAGATAACATTTCTATCATGCTTGGGCAGCTGTGAAATGTGCTTACAGTGACCAATCACTGTCATTTGAATTACATATACACTATTTTCCAATAATTTTTCTAAGATATTAAATTGCATACAAAATATTTATTTTACTTTGGAGTGTATGTTATACTTTCTCTTAGGCCATATGATTTAGTAAATATATTTACCTATGTGTTCAACTTTTATCCTGCACTCAATAATTGATTTTCTTTCTCCTTCAGAGATATAAATTATATAGATACCTTTCCCTTTTCTTTCAGTATCTTAGTACCAAATTATCTTAATAGCATAATATATGCTTTAGTTTCTTAATTTATTAAAATTATTCAGTTATAGCTTCTTCTCTTGCTTAGATTTCCTGTAACAATATTCCTCAAGTTAGTAACAACTAGGTAGTCTGTGTCCATAAACTAGAGGAAAGATTAAATACCTCTTTTTGTAATAAAAATTAGTTAACTAAAGACCAGGAACTTCAAGCATACTGGTCATTAGAATCTCCCAAGGAGATACTGAAAATAAAAACATGTTTCTTCTCAAGCTATGTTCAAGATCAAGTGAATTAAATTCATAGTGTACTGAAAAAAGTCCACAAGTGCTTATAATATAGATCTTTCTTTAAGACTCACTGAGCTAACTATTGAACTAGAAAGAAAGACAATATATAACACTGAAACACATAGATTTGGATGAAGTTTCATCAAGGAGAAATGATCATTATCCTTTCATAGCACAAATCTAGAATGGAACACATATCCTAATCTCTGAAATTCCTTTCCTCCTTCAAATTTTAGTGTTTTGGGAGATCCTAAAATAAGTACTACTATGAGTTGTAGTAATCTAGAGGACATAAAACATTACCAAAGACAGGCTGTTGACAAAAAAGCAGAAATCATTTTCCTTCAAGGAAATATATACATTGGATACTGAATTGTGTAGAATTAAAGAGTTATGTCCATTTTATCAAACAAAAACAATCCATAATTATTTAAACAGAGAATTTATTATAGCTGATTGCTCCTAACAATAAAAATTTGTATAGATAAGTAAAATCACAGAGATAAAATATTAAGCAAAGTAAAAAAGCAAAAACATATGTATCACCTTATATATTTCTCAGTCCTTTTACTTTATAAAGTGATGTTTTTTCCCACAGAGTCAATGTTATATGATCTCACAATAATTCGGTGCAACAGGCAAGGAATTAAATATTTCCATATTATAGGCAAAATAACAAATAATGTTTAAATGGTCTACCAAAACAAATTTAAAGATAGCTACTATAAAAGTCCTGTGGACAAATTCAAGTGTCACATAGTCCCTATCCCAATTAATCTATAAAATCTAAAACTTAAGAATCAAAAATGTAGAGGAAAACTATTTTTCAACATTATGGCATAGTGTATATTGATTTTCTTTTTAGTTATTTTTAAATGACTGTCTGAAGCATATCTTATCTCAAATATCACAGAGATGCTGTGCATGTTATAACTGTAGAAGATGGTACATATCAACATATTCATCTGAGATTTATATTGTATCAAAAAATCTCATGGTATTTATCAGTCCCATGAAATTGAGGGTCACAATAAAGGAAGGGCTTTCAGGGAAAACATATTCTGATATGTTCCACTATTTCCTGTATTACTTCAAAAGCCATTTATATGAAAGAAGTGCCAGTTCCTCCAGGATCTTCCTCTTGTCAGAGTTGTGGTGTATGAAATTGCCTGAAACACTGTCTCCCAATTGCTTGTTTCAGGCCAAACACTCACCCATTCTCTCTGAATGATGATCCATCTGGGATGGAGAGCTGGACACACTGCTGCTTGGGTGGGAGGAAGTCTGACTCCCGGGGCAATGATTCTCTTCCAGAGAGGGAGCAGGAGAAGGACTTTCTGGGATCCGCTCCTGATACAAAATGAAACACAAAATAATTCAGTTCACATATTCACTGATATTATCCAGATGGTTTTGGCAATATCATTGGAAATATTCATCTCTCACTTATCCTGGAAGTGTACACAGAACAAGGAACGGACTTAAATAGTTAAAACATATTTTTGAGATATTAATGTCATGTAATTAGAATTAAATAATAGAAGGTGGTGTTTTCTATTTCCATCCATTTGTATGCAAAATTCAAGATGTCATTGTTTTTTACCGCTTAGTAGTACTCTAATATGTATATATTCCACACTTTCTTCATCCACTCTTCCATTGAAGGGCATCTAGGCTGTTTCCAGGTTCTGGCTATTACAAACAATGTTGCTATGAACGTAGTTGAACAAATGCTTTTGTTGTATGATAGGGCCTCTCTTGGGTATATTCCCAAGAGTGGTATTGCTGGATCCTGGGGTAGGTTGATCCCGAATTTCCCGAGACATCGCCACACTGATTTCCAAAGTGGTTGCACAAGATTGCATTCCCACCAGCAATGGATGAGTGTACCCCTTCCTCCACAACCTCTCCAGCAAAGGCTATCATTGGTGTTTTTTATTTTAGCCATTCTGACAGGTGTAAGATGGTATCTCAAAGTTGTTTTGATTTGCATTTCCCTGATTGCTAAGGAAGTTGAGCATGACCTTAAGTGTCTTTGGCCATTTGAACTTCTTCTGTTGAGAATTCTCTGCCCCATTTTGTAATTGGTTGATTAGCATTTTAAAGTCTAGTTTCTTGAGTTCTTTATATATTTTGGAGATCAGACCTTTGTTGCGGGGTTGGTGAAGATCTTCTCCCAGTCAGTGGGTTGCCTTTTTGTCTAAGTGACAGTGTCCTTTGCTTTACAGAAACTTCTCAGTGAGGTAAGCCAGACCCAAAAAGATGAACATGGGATGTACTCACTCATAATTGGTTTCTAGCCATAAAGGACGTTGAGCCTATAATTCGTGATCCTAGAGAAGCTAAAAAAGAAGGTGAACCCAAAGAAGAACATATAGTTATCCTCCTGGATATTGTAAGTAGACAAGATTGCAGGGCAAAAACTGGGAATTGGGGGTGGGGTGGGATGGGGGAAAGGTGATATGGGGAGAGAAAAGTGAAAAGGGGAACATGGGAAGAACTTGGGGGAATGGGATGATTGGGATAAAGGAAGGGTAGATATGGGAGCAGGGAAGTATATATCTTAATTAAGGGAGCCAATTTTAGAGTTGGCAAGAGACTTGACCCTAGAGGGGTTCCCAGGTGTCCAGGGAGATGTCCCCAGCTAGTTCCTTGGGCAGTTGAGGAGAGGGAGCCTGAAATGGCCTTACGCTGTAGTCATACTGATGAATATCTTACATATCATCATAGAGACTTCATCTTGCGATGGAAGGAGATAGACACATACACTGGAGAACTAGACTGTGCTTCCATGGTCCAAACGAGGAGCAGAAGGAGGGAGAACATGAGCAATGAAGTCAGGACCGCAAGGGGTGCACCCACACACTGAGACAGTGGGGCTGATCTATTGGGAACTCACCAAGGTCAGCTGGACTGGGTCTAAAAAAGCATGGGATAAAACCAGACTCTCTGAACATGGTGGACAATGAGGGCTGCTGAGAAGCCAAGAACAATGGCACTGGGTTTTGATCCTACTGCGTGTACTGGCTGTTTGGGTGCTCACCCTCCTAGACCTGGATGGAGGGGGAGGACCTTGGACTTCCCACAGGGCAGGGAACCCCGACTGCTCTTGGGACTGGAGAGGGAGGGCAGAATAGCAGGGGAGGGGGAGGGAAATGGGAGGCTGAGGCGGGGAGGAGGCAGATATTTCTAATTAAAAAAATAAATTTAAAAAAAAGAAAAAGAAAAAAAAAGAAGGTGGTGAGTGGATCTAAGGAATTTAGGTCCAGTTTTCATCCTTAAAATTGTATAAATAGGAACATAGAGAAATACCTCAGTGGGTCAAATTGTGACTAAGGACCTGAGATCAAATATAAAACTCCATATAAAAGAATCTGGCATGTCAATATGAATCATGCCAAGAATACCAAGGACAGAGACCGGAGGTCACTGATCAGTGAATTCTAATTTCAATGAGAGATTCTGACTAAGAAAAATTAGAAAAGAAAAAAGCAGTTGAGAAACACATTCAATGAAATGTAAACATTTGGTATCAAAAGGAGTACATGTACAGGTGGGGAGAGAGAGAGAAGTCATAAATAATTGTAAATATGGTGTGGTGTGATAGTTATTTTTATCACAAATGTCTATACTGATAAAGATTCATGCCAAGGTCTGAAGAGTAACATTATTTCCAATTAAGTATCAATTACAAGTACATATCCCTAAGAACTCTGGAAAAAGTGCTACATGCTGCACCTGATACAACATGCGTAGCTGGTCTGAATGTGGGAATATTTGGAAACTATGGGCTTCATGGTATCAGAATTTAGAGCTGACGTATGTTGATTTCTATCAACAAAATATTTTAACAATCACAAACTGCAATACTGTGTTTTATAAACTGACAAAACTGTCCACTAATGTCAATTCTTTAGTATTGCTTAGCTTTTCATGTTTTAAATAAAAAAATCTTAATAAAAACCAAATCTTTTATAAGCTCTAATGGTATCTGGTATGACGTGTAGGATTCATTATTATAAAATTTTATAAAACACTGAGGCTATTTAATGTTTATGAATTTTATATTTTCAGTTCAATCTGAACACTAAGTTAATATGAATAATACAAAAACTAAATTGCACTCTTTATGCACATATAGAATAAATATGATTCACCAATATACATGTAGATACATTAAATGTCATATAAAGTACTTACTTCATCCATAATAAATTCCTTACACTACATACTATAATTTTATATAATTACATCACCAAGATTCAAATCTTCATAATGTTAAGAAATAGATTATCAAGTTTGTGCTTGTTTATTTTCATATTGATTTTGCATGACATCCCCAAAATTTATAAACCCCTGAAGAAAAACTTTTTTAAATTAAGATAATGAAATGGCCATTATAAGTTATTACTATATTAGTAGTAGTTAATATTTTACAATATCTGTCATTTCAGCAGGCAGAATAATGCCACTTTCCTTTCAAAGATGTCTATGTTATTTCTCAATTGCCAGGAACCTGATTAAATATTATATATTATATTACATAGTCAAAGGGAAATTGCAGATATGACTGAGACTATTATGTTAGGCTTATCATGGCTGAAATGGGAGGGCTGATAGAGAAGCCATTGATAAAGAACCTTCATCTGGCAGTGGATGGAGATAGAGACAGAGACAAACATTAGAGCATTGGACTGAGCTCCCAAGGCCCAGATGAAGAGCAGAAAATGGGAGAACATGAGCAAGGAAGTCAGGACTGCAAGGGGTGCACCCACCCATGGAGACAGTGGGGCTGATCTAATGGGAGCTCATCAAGGCCAGCTGGAATGGGACTGAATGAGCATGTGATCAAATCGGACTCTCTGAATGTGGTCAACAATGAGGGCTGACGGAGAAGCCAATGATAATGACACTGGATTTTGATTCTACTGCATGTACTAGCTTTTTAGGAGCCTAGTCTGTTTGAATGCATACCTTGCTAGACCTGGATGGAGGGGGGGGGCTTGGATTTTCCACAGGGCAGGGCACCCTGACTTCTCTGAGGACTGGAGAGCGAGGGGGAGGGGAAGTAGGGAGAGGGGGAGGGAAATGGGAGGATGGGAGGAGGTGGAAATTTATAATAAATAAAAATTAAAAAGAAATAAAATTGCATTTTAATTATTACTTAGCATTTAGGTAAAATTAATTAATTTTACTGAAATGAGTTGTATATACTTAGTTTACCACCTAAATTATTTGCACTAAAAATATTGTAAATAGTACATTTTCAATACATTTCTCTAGTTTGTAAGTCTTAAAACAAGATTCTAAAATGTATAATATACAGCCAAATCTATAGCTTTACCAGTAAAACTTAGGCACAATCCAAAGAAATGTATAGAGCAAAACAGATAGAAACATTTACCAAAGAAAAACATTTCCATAGTTTAGAGGGATATATGGGGAAACTTAGAAGAGCTATAGAGCTTTTAGACCACAAATTCTTACAGCATAGGAGAGACTGGAAGTTCATAAGACAAAAATTCAATCTTGCTTGTCATATTTGGTAATACATGTTTTCCACATAGTAGTTATGTATGAACACACACTTGTGCACACATCCATTAATGAAGACAATTTTGTAGGTGAGGACTGAAAGATGTCTTAGTAATTAAGAGTACAGGCTGTTCCTCCAGAGGATGTGGAATGAATCCAGCACCCACATTATGGGTCACAACTGTTTATAACTCCAGTCACAGGGAGTCCAACAATCTCTTTGGGCCTCCATTGACACCAGGCATAGACATTAAATACAGACATTCATACAGGAAAAAACATAAATACACAAAAATAAAAATAAATAAAATATTAAAATAATAGTAACTCAATATGTGAGACCAAAATTTTGACTTTATTGTATTATAATATTAATAGTCTTAGGACAGAATATGCACTGAAAATACAAATAATTTATTGTCTTTTATCTCTAATATTGAAAATTTGCATAAGCGTATATAATTTAATTATATCTATTTTCAATGGACTTCGAAGTGAATAGACAAAAGCAGCTGCTGTGAAAATTATAACTGAAGAAGCAACATCAGTGTGTTGCTATGTAAGGAAACATACACACAAACACACCATTATTATCCTACTATAATACTAGTGGACTGATTTTAATGGTTAATATTGTTGATTTATGGAAAAACAGGATAATCCACTGACAATGAATGATATTAAACTTCTTCAATGCTTTGTAAAAAATTACAACATCACGAATAAAAGAACACTGGAGAAGCATCCACACAAATACTGTAGTGAGAAAATACATAATGCTATATGAGGGATAATAAGGCTCAATATGGATGTGA